CGGTTGTTCGTCAGCCAAGAGAGGGAGGGAAGGGGGCAGCTTCCCAGAGTCACCCGGGCCTCACAGTAAGCGCACATGAAATCCATGGAGCATGGCGCCTGAATTTCTGCTGTGTTTGGGCGCGCTTTGGTTGGCTTGGGGTTTGCTTTGCTTGGCTTTGGATAGGAAATGGGGCTGGAGTTATTGGTTGAATTTAAAGCATGAGATTGGCTGAGGGCTGGGTTTGTGTCAGACTTCGAGCTGGGTTGTCATCTGGATGTCTTTGCCGGTTTGGTGGTCTCGAACCAGACCCAAACCAGCCAAGACAACCAGGTGACAAGAAACCCACGACATCCTGCTCAGCAATGCCCTAACCCATAACCCGGCCTAAAAATAAGCAGTTCCATGGACCATAGATGGCAAGCCAGCCTCGAACGAGTCCGGGTGTTGCTGAGGATGTTCCCCCTTCTGCTGCGGCCATTGTCCCGGCCAGCGACATTCAGACATTCAGACATTCTATTTCCAGACCTTGCAAAAAGCCACGGCTATGCCAAACAAAATCAGCCTCCAACCGTGCGTAAGAGTTGCTGAAGCTTCCTGTGTTGGGCATTCAGCTAAATAATTGAACAGACGCCCGGGTCCCCAATGCGACATCACCATTTTGGCTAAGGGGACTCGACCTTTAGACATTTCAATTCTCCCATGTTGGTCCAAGTCTTACCAAGGTTCCAAAAGGTGGGCCAATTGTACGAAGGCTTCAACAAGGCATCGAAGTTTGCACCAAAAGGGTTGCTCGTTCTATTTTCGAGTGCTTTGGGCAAGTGCTCATTTGTAACTATTTGCACTTGGTCCCGCGCTTTCAGGTCTACCTTGGGCTGTGAAGAGCAGAATCCCTCCGAGGAGAGCAATTGGCGCAAGTGGTGGCCGGGGCGATGTGGGGGGCGGAGCAATGACCGGTCCTATTGATGTGGATCCACAATTAATCAACCTGGTGGGCTATTAGGTCCCCCAAAGTTGAAGAATGCCCTCTCAAATGGCCCACCTCTATTAATCAATACGGGGCGATACTGCTGCGCCGAGGCTCCCATTAGATCAGCTTCCAGGACTGTTCGTGGGACTTGCCTCAACGAGCTTAACCTTGTGTTGGTTGAGATAGAAATCAAGTCATTGAGTAGGGAGTGGAAAGAGCAGACACCTCCGATTGCGACGCAACGCCTCCTACGGGGAGTGGTCTCATACGATTGGGTCCATCCAGTCATTGCAAAGGCAGCTGCATCTCTGCGACAATCCACAAGCGCCCCAGAGAACAACCTTTTCACAGGGACGCAATGGCCGGAGCAAAGATCTGAAAGCAACGTCAGGTCCTTCCGTGCCAGTGGATCTCTTCTGGAGCATTGCATGAAGCAGCGCCCCATGCCACAAAGGGGTTCTGACAGCTGGAAGGTTGTCCTACCATCCTTTCTCAGGAGGACTTTGGGTGGGACCCTTTGGACGCCATCGATGCTGAGCTCGAGAAGGAGTGCGTTAATCCACCATGTCGGCTGCCGGACCTTTTCCATGGGATCCGGTGGTTGAGGGATGCTCAGACCCTGGTTTGAACATGTTTGACTTTGAACAGTTCGCAGGTGCACCCAGGCCGACCTTTTCACCTTGTGGGTACTGCCCATGTTGACTCAAGGTCCAACTTCCAACAAGTTTTGCCTGGAAATTCCAGGTGCTTGCGGGACCCAACACCCCGGAAGAAAGGCGGTCTGAGGTAGCCTAAGGGTAGGCGAGGGCTTTGAGTCAGGTTGGATGGTGGCTGGGCGAGGGTCGGAGACAAGACGAGACCCAAGCGCTTAGCGCTTGGATGTTGCGCGAGGCACTTTGTCATTCCTGCAGACCAGGCAATTTTGCGCAGCAAACATTTCTTGGGCACATTACAGCGAGCTCATTTGGGAGAAGACAAGCTATGATGAAATATGATGAAGATGTTCTTTGGGATTGGTTGATGTTGGTTGGTGAATCATAATCCTTCACCCAGACATGGTACAACTTGTGTGACACAAAGTGCTAAAAAGTGAAGTGGACGAAATGCATGCCAGCCAATGATGCATGCGTTGAAAACGGACTGGATGATGCTGGACAGCCTTAGGGCAGCGGACAGAAGGAGATGTCCAAGGTGAGTGAGGGTCTTTTGTCAGCATTCATAATGCTGGACTAATGCACGCCTGAGAGTCCAAGGTTATGTAGTTGTCACTGATTGCACTGCTCGTTGCCCTGCCAACTCAGCTGCCTTCTTGGCACTTTGCAGAGGAGCCGGCCTGGTATTGAGCTGGCAACTCATCGATCGACAAAAAGGGGTTCCTGACATGTCCACCAAGGAATCTGGGCTGTGCTCTCCAATGTTCGTTGTTGGTACTTAGGTCAACCACCGTCCCTGTAGAATGAGCTCGCCCACATGAAGGTCCCTTACGGATTCCTTGACTCAGGTTGGTGAATCTGTACTTAGTGCGGAAAGCAGCACGGGTTGCAGAATGGCCGTGTCTCTCTCAACTTCGACAGACCCCATAGAATGTGCTGTTCTTGGTGTTCAACCTGTCCGTTTGTCTCAGTCAACTTGCCTCTCACATCTGCAGGAGCTTGAGGAAGCCGGGCTACTGGAGGCCCGTGGCTTTTGTCTTTATGTGGGCGTGCCTGTTTTGAGGGCGGCGCTTGGTGAGGGGCAATCGGAGGAGATCAGCAATTTTATTCGTTCCCCCCCATTTGCAGACAGACCCGTGTCATGGGATGATGTTTGGTGAGGGCTTTGAGCCTTTTATCTTGAACATCAAAATTGGCTTTGGCATTGGACAGCGGTTCTATTTTGCTAGGGGGCTACTTCGAGCAAAATGTGTCGGCCTTGCAAGGGAAGAACTTGTGTGAGGTGGCCGTTGAGATTAGTAGATCATTCTATGAATGTCGGCTTGATGTGGGGTGCGTGTACGTTCCTTATCCATTTCATGTCCGTGTGCTCTACTTGTAGCTGGCCCTGGTTGAAAGATAATCGTGGCTAAGGGTTTTCCCAGCTGTCGAGCCGCACGGCACCTGGTGGATTGCTGAAATGTAGGCGATACAACCTACATGACAAATGGGAACGGGTCAACTAGGGACCCCAGGTTAATGTGGTCTTTAGAGGCAACTCATTTCGAGGGCCTTGATCTCGATAAAGCCAGATGGCTATGAATCCACTATCATGGCTCCGCGCGCCGAGTCTACTCAATGCTTTCAACGAATGCTTGTTTCTCCCTCAATCAGCGTACTTAGAAGATCTTGTCTGACCAGAAATGAAGCCCAAAATGCGCTCATCTGGCACAGGAGAACTGGGAAGAGGATGAGATGGAAGAGGAGGAGGAAGAGGAGTCAAAGTGCCTTGTGTGAGTTTGGCTGGCAATCCTATTCACCCCAAAGGTAGTGCAAGTCGATGTGACTGGGCACATCGTACGGCAGAAGTTTGCGCCAGCAGCAGTCAGTGAGGCGAGAAGTTCAGAAGTCTAAGATACAAGTCAACCAAATATGGACAAATCAAGTCTGAAGGCCTAAAGGTCAGTAAGTCAAGACGCCAATGAACATTACACAGAATCAATTCGACTATGCAAGCACGTTGTGCTTTTTCATTTTGAAGATAAACCAGAGCTTTTCTCACTCGGGGCCTTTCTTCAGCCCAGCGGAGCCATGCCATTTGTACTAATTGTAACGAGCTCACCGAAAGGGGGCAAACAATGTCACCCGCGATGACGATCTACTTGGAGGATCCTGAACTGGGTGGGTGTGCGTGTGTACATATATACATATATGTGTTTTGTATATGTATATATTAATTTTCGTGCTCCGCGCCGGCTTCGCATGTCGGCCGCGCGGGATGGATGGATGCACGCAATTGATGGCGGATGGATGGATGGATGGATGGATGGATGGATGGATGGATGGATGGATGGATGGATGGATGGATGGATGGATGGATGGATGGATGGATGGATGGATGGATGGATGCATGGATGGATGGATGGATGGATGGATGGATGGATGGATGGATGGATGGATGGATGGATGGATGGATGGATGGATGGATGCATGCATGGATGGATGGATGGATGGATGGATGGTGGGATGGTGGGATGGTGGGATGGTGGGATGGTGGGATGGTGGGATGGTGGGATGGTTGGTCGGTTGGTTGGTTCGCTGCGGCCCGTGCGTTTCGCACGTGTGACTTGGGGAGGCTGACCCGAAACGCGGGCGATGCAAGGGATGCAGTCAATGCGCGAGACACAGGAGCTTTCAAAAGGGTCGGCGATGCTGGCAGTGCAGCCGGGTTACTGCAAATGTGAAGTGCGTTGAACCTTCCCCCAACTCGGGCGGCAGCGACCGTCAGTCGGAAGGCAAAGCCTAGGAATGCCCCCCCCTTTGGGCGACGCCGAGGCTGGATTTACGGTGCTGGCGCACAACCGTCCAAGTTGCCCAGAAAGGCTGAGCCTCTCTTCCTCACACCCCGTCCATCCATCGCTTGGCCTGATTTTTTACTCTCCTGGGACAAGTTGGTCAAGAACGCAGGCCGCTGCTGATAAAGAAAAAACCCCTTGCCTCTTCAAGGGCGGCCTGCGTTTTTCTTTATCAGCAGCGGCCTGCGTTCTTGACCAACTTGTCCCAGGAGGATAAAAATCCAGGCGACGCCTGTCCCACCATGCCTCTCCGCTCCACATGAGCCAGCCGAACTGTTACTTCATTTGGTGGGCAGAGTCCTTCCTTGACGGTGGATAGAGAGGATTCTCCTTCTCCCCTGCCTCTCCATGTGAATAATAAACCAGCTGAACCTTACGGAATGGTTAAGTCTTTTCAGCTGGGAGGGCAGCCAGGCTAGCTTCATCTTTGCTGGCTCTTGCTCCTTAAGTGTTTGCAGCCAGGCAGGCAAGGCCTTTGCAAGCAAGCACGGTGCAAGAAGCTGACTCGCGAGTCGTGACGACAACAACAACAGCAGCAGCAGCAGCGGCGGCGGCGGCGGCAGCAGCAGCAGCAGCAACAAGAACAACAACAAGAACAATAACAAGAACAAGAACAAGAACAAGAACACGAACACGAACAAGAACAAGAACAAGAACAAGAGTAGTAACAAGAACAACAAGGCATTTGTTTGTCTTGCCGCCGTGGAAGGCCGAACGATTTGAAGAGCCGTTTTTCAAAACGCAGAACTGTCATCGTTTTCCATCGTTGAGGTCCCCAAAAAAAAGTCCGTTTTTAAGGCACCCTGTTCTTGCAAATTGTCCTGAGGGGTTGAAGCACGGGTACAGTGCTGAGATGACGCGCGTGGGCGGGTGTGCTTGCCATGTGCCAGACATGGGTCAGTGCTGAGATGACGTGCGTGGGCGGGTGCCAGACATGGGTACAGTGCTGAGATGACGCGCGTGGGCGGGTGTTCCTACCATGTGCCAGGCATGGGTAGGGTGCTGAGATGACGCGCGTGGGCGGGTGTGCTTACCATGTGCCAGGCATGTGTACAGTGCCGAGATGACGCGTGGGCGGGTGCGCTTACCATGTGCCAGACATGGGTACTGAGCTGAGATGACGCACGTGGGTGTGTGAGGCATGGGTACAGCGCGCGAGCGGTTGCATGGGTACAGTCCTGAGATGACGCACGTGAGCGGGTGTGCTCACGATGTGCCAGACATGGGTACAGTGCTGAGATGACGCACGTGGGCGGGTGTGCCTACCATGTGCCAGGCACCACAGGCACAGTGCTGAGATGACGCGCGTGGGCGAGTGCGCTTACCATGTGCCAGACATGGATACAGCGCTGAGATGACGCGCGTGGGCGGGTGCGCTTACCAATTGCCAGGCATGGGTACTGTGCTGAGATGACGCGTGTGGGCGGGTGTGCTTTCCATGTGCCAGGCATGAGTGCAGTGCTGAGATGACGCACGTGGGCGGGCGATGACGCGCGTGGGCGGGGTTTGTTTCGCCGCCATGGAAGGTTTGCAACATATTCAAGCTCATGCGCGTCATGTCAGCACTGTGCACATGCCCGGCGCCTGACAGGCACTCCCGCTCACGCGCGTCATCTCAGCGATGTACCCATGCCTGGCACATGGTAAGCGCACCCGCCCACGCGCGTCATCCTGCACCCATGCCTGGTACATGGTAAGCACCCCCGCCCACGCGCGTCATCTCAGCACTGTACCCATGCCTGGCACATGGTAAGCACACAGCAACAATAAGAGCTTCAAGCCACTGCTCCGCGCAAGGGGCTCTGAGTGCGCTCGCGCGCGCGCAAAGAGCCGGTCAAGGTGTGCGGGCGTTTTTTGCAGGGAAAGGGGGTCTTGCGTCAGCGCTCTGAAGCTTTCAGGTTTTTACAAATTTTGCTGCAGTTCTGCTCGCAGGCTTCTTGTTTGTAATGCCGCAGAGCGGCCCTGCTGACATGCACTTGGGCCAGCCTCGTCAAAACCACGCGTTTTTCCTCTTTTTACAGACCAACACTCAACTCCTTGCATGCTTTCCCGGGATGTTGGCTGCAATCCGTGAGGTTGACGGGAATGCAGCAAATGCAGTCTGTGAAGAAGGCAGGGACCAGAGCCCTTCACAGACTCTGCTCAGAGGAGATGCAGCAGGACCTGCCATGGACAAGAAGGCAGCCTCGCGTCGCAAAGGCTCGCGCGGCGAAGCCGGCAAAGCGAAAGCGATGAAAAGACAGCAGCTTCACAGCTGGCCGCTCCGGGTCCAAGGTTGGTCATAGCGCTCAACATGCACAATATGCGATTGAAGCAGGAGACGTCAATGAACATTTGTTGTGTAGCGGAAGAGCGTGGCTGATGGAGAGAATGTGAAGGGAGGCTTCAGCTGATTTGCTGAAAGCAGAGAAAGCAAGCGAGAGGGTCTCAAATTGGAGAGATGTCTCAGCGGCCAACATCAGTGACGCGGGGCGGATTTGCCTGGGCTGATCAACGCGTGAGTGTGCCCCCAGATTGCGCTGGTCTTTGAAGCTGACAGGAGTGCCCCCATTTCCCCGTCCCAACTTGCCAGTGATCCAAAGGGTTTGAGGGGGTCATTCGTCTCCCACCGGGTGCCAGTGGATTTTTTGCGGTTCTGTGTTGAGAGTGTGGTGTTGGAAGGTGGGTGCTAGGAATGCTGATCTGTGTTGTTGCTGGCTCAGCCACTGCCTTCCTCGCACTGCACGTTCAACCCTTGTCGTGCGAACTTTGCACATTGCCTTGCGCTTCAGGGGCTCATCCGTGATGTATAGGAGCTCTGTGTTGCATATTCAGCTTTTGCCCTATAATACTCTGTGATTGCGACTCCGCTATCTGGGGCCTATGCCGGGGTATGCTGGTGTCTTGCTTTGGCGAGACATTTGGGCGAGAGTTGGCATTGGGCATTGGGCACTGCGCTCCAGGCCTTGTAGACAATATCTCCCCAGCAGGCGCTGCAGCAGTGACTCATCATCCGCGAGCGATGATGATCACCATGATGACGAAAATACCTATCATCGTAGCATCCCCTGCATCCCAGTGATGCTCATGATGATTGTCAACATCCGTGTGGCGATGATGATGGCCACAATGATGATGACGACTGTGATGAGAACTGTTATCATAGCATTCCCCGTGTCACCAAAGCTGCAGACAAGGGTCGGCGGATGTATATGTGTGTGTGTCCAACCAATTTGCAAAGGGTGCCTTCAAGGGCCAAACGCGCACACTGAAATCAGTTTGGGGAACTATTGTACTTGATGTAGATGTCATCCGCTCTCGGAGGCCTTGTAGAGGTGTCCGCAGATCTCACCAGCGTTTTTTTGGAGCAAAGCTTGTGTAGCCCAGTGGAAACCAGGCATGCCATTCTAATCGCTAACCTTCCACCAGGTTCCTTTTCTGAAAGGATGGTTCCCTTGGTCCAGTGGCTACGGTGGGTGCAATTTGAGCTAGAGGATTGTTTTGGGTTTCCCTTCTGCAGGTTCGGGGGTCACTGGGTAACTTGGCTCCAGGACGAGGAGGTTCAAGAAGCAAGAAGCCAGCTGGAGGCCCAATGGGAAGCAGAGTCTGACAACATCCAGGACGGGACCTCGAATTTGCGGCAAAGGGCTGGATGAATATCAGGACAGGGTTTTCCTTTCTAAGTGGGGGGAGTTCGCTTCCTGGCGGGGCCAGAAATTGACCCTTGTCGGGACCGATTCGATGCAAAGGTGTGACAATTATGTTGGCGGGTGGCATAATTTAAATAGTAGTTTGATCTACGGTTATTGTTTAAACAACCTGCTTTGCTTGTTGCCGCCCATGCCCCCCAAAAAGGGAGGTCCAGCAAAAGGGTCCAAAACCCAGACAGCGACCACCGGCAAAAAGGGGGGCCATTTTGATTCCGGTGTCGTTTGCTGTTTGAAAGTGGGGCACCAAAGGCGGCCCCTTGTCAACTGACTGGGGGTCCTCCTTGCTTTTACCTGAAACAGCCATGCTTCCGGATGTGATGTGGGGATTATAGGAACGCACATCCAGCAATTTGGTATCGCAGAAAGGGTGCCCATTTCTCACACGCCAAGGGCCACTGAATCTGATCCAAGGTGAACAATACATGGCCCCCTAAACCTGTTCTTCGCAGCGGCCATGCAAAAAAACAGGGCCCATTCGAGGCTCTGGTCACTTGTCGTGCCACGTTTTCAAGAAAAGCGATGACTGCCATCACTCAGGGCCAACAGTCACTGAGAAGTTGTTTCTCACTGCTCATGTCCGGGTCTGCAGCAGGGTCAAGGCTGCTTCTCCCAAAGCGTTTCTTCTTGTCGGTCAGGTGATGTGGCAGTGGTGCCACTAGCTGGCTCCCCTGACGTCTTCCGTTATCAAAGGTTGGGGGTGAGCTGCCAGGAATGGGAGGACGATGACGACCGGCCTCGTGTCGTAGAGTAACTTGGCATGAAATTGCCGCATCCTTGGCTTTGGCTCCAAGGACTGCTTTGGCCTTACCGGCGCACCGGTGGAGTTGTTTTGGCATTTTGGGCGGACGTCCTTGCACATCAGCCTACCAAGGAAGGTTGCCAAATGTGATTTTGACCCTGGCAAATGGGAACGGCCGGGTTTGCTGATTTTGCAACCACATTGCAGCCAAACCAACTTTGTTCAAATCCAACCCGGTCGGTTTCCTGGTGTTGATCCATGTTTAGCCACAGCCCCGAATCGTTTGCTTTGGACAAGTGAGTGTTGAATGGAGCAGAAGCTCCACTTGATTTGGCAGCCAATTGATGGCGTTCTAAACAATTGTGAGAAGCTACTGTACACATTACTTTTCCCTCACTTTGATTTTGGTTTGCTTGGCTCAGTACGGCCTCATCGAAGGAACTGAGTCGTTCCTGAGGATGTCGGATGCATGGGAAGCTGAATACCAATGCCTCAACTTGTTCACCTTTGTGGAAGTTCTCCTTGCTCAAAAAGTATGTTTGGGCTCGAGGAAGATCATGTGGGGATTCGCCGGACGCGCCGAACTGGAAAGGTGAGTCCACTTTCTTTTGATACTGGCTGGCAGGGTTGCTTGGATCATGTAAACCTTGGTTCCATGCAAAGGGAAGCCGCATGGAGCTTGCTACCACAAAACAAAACACACTCAAAGAGTTTTTGGCCCAACCCTGATCCTGATGGCTAAGCATGGCAGAAGGTTGGACGATGTCATTGGCAGTTGGTGGCATGCCCGCAATCATCTTTTGGTTAACAATCAACTAGGGTTATTCGTCTTGGGTTCCCATCACGAAGACTCTCTTGGTACCAGGTTCTGGCAGATTAACCAGCATCCCTCCCCGCTTCTTTTTTTCTCACAAGGCTGCTGCGCGTGAAGTGCAGTTCTGACTCCCTGCTGGCCGCTTGGCTGTTGGCTATGAGGTCCAAAGACCCCTTTCCATATGCGGCACCCCCACAAAAATTCGTGTTTTTCCCGTTGTTCTCCGTTGAAGCCAAGGTGAAGAGGGTACCCTCAAAAAACGCGCGCACACACAAGTTGCTGGATGGGCATAGTATCTTGACTCGCCATTTTGAACGTGTTACAATGAAGGTTTTCAGCATGTGCCCTGGCCAAAACTTCCTTTAGCCTGGGGTTACAAGGGATGGTTATCACCCTCTGAATGCAGCGTTACCGTGGTATAGTTTGTCTTTGCATCGAGGACGCATTTGCATGAGGCTGTACGTTCACCATTTATCATGGTCTTCCGCAATAAACTCTATACCGCCATCCTACTTAATCATCATCAAAGCCAGGGGGTTCATGTCAGTCATTCCCAGCTGATGACTGCACCCCTAGAAACAGCCAACGCCCCATGTTTAACCTGTGATTGGTCCCAAGAAAGGACTCCCACCCCAGATGAATTCAGACCCACAGTCATTGGCTTCAGAGTGGCTTCATATGGCGGAAAAGCCGCGCCTTGTTTGCCTGGTGCATTCATCCATATGTTTTACGAAATAGTCACTGGAGCAACTCCTGCTGCTTCTAGCTGCAAGCTGGCAGTGCACAACACAGAACAGAAAGGGTTGATGTCAGATCTGAGAGCTCATAATATTTGCTGTGTACCATTGACACGGCTGGCAGAAACATTTCACAGAAGCAGAGTGTTGTGTCACAATCCCGCTTTGCAAACATGTGGTCCTTAAAAATTAATTAGCGTTGCGAGCACACGGTGGATAAGGACACCCTGACTATCAGTTGCTTGAGTGCTGCATCGGACAGATGTTTTAAAGTGGAGAACCCGCGGAAGCAAGTATCAGTTGCTTGAGTGCTGCATCGGACGGATGTTTTAAAGTGGAGAACCCGGGGAAGCAAGGGACGCTGAGCATGGTTGCGTTCTTGAGGGGAGCTCCCTTTGTCGGAGTTGTGTTGAGGGTAAACCCAAGCAACATCCGTATGCGTCCCCGTTTGGAGACACTACTCCCAAATTAGTTTTTTGCAGGGGTGCCCCCCCCCGGCCATTCCCGGTTGCGTGGATGCAGTTCAGCTGGCTTGCTTTGAACTGACAGCAATTTTATTGGCCGTTTTGGGGTGTCCAACTTGTTTGGGGCCCTTTATGGGTGGCTAAGTGGCAACCTCAAGGAAAGCATCCAACTTTTCGGCTGACTCGGTGATTCCATTTGCCTGTGAACTGGTAACAAAGGGGACAACCCTTCAAACACGAAAGGGAATTGGCTGGTTTATCTTCTAGAACAAAACCGGAATCCACTTCTTGTTAGTTTCCATTTAAAGGGGGTCGGGTCGAGAAAGGTAACTGGGATCCCGAATTGGGTGGTGAAGCAAACCTCTGGCCAGCGACTTTTCTGAGGACTTTGACGCCTCAGTCGACCAGGGCCTTTCAGGCTGCGCAGATTCAAAACCAACACTCACGTGCTTCCAGTTGCCACTATAGTAGGCAACCAGGCCTTTGTAAACCTCAATGCCGAGTCTTACATGATAGCTGCCCCTGGTACGACAACGGCAACTGGAAGCACTGGAGAGGGCACGTGCTGTAAGTTGCAAAGCTTTGGCGTGTTCCCAAACGGGGCCATATCTGCTTCAGCTTTGTGAAAGAGCAATGCGCAATTGGTCAGGAAATTGTCGGGAACCCTGAAGTATCAACACATCCTACGCCAGGTTGCGCTTAATTTGGAAGTTTGAGTAAGTTGCTCATATTTGGTGTTGATGACTGTATCTTCCATTCACTGATGGTGTCGATGAAACGCGTCGCAATAGCATCACTGGATTTAGCTGACGCTAATGCAATCTCTCTGATGACAAGTGACAGAGGCGATTTTGTGTTCCCGTTGTAAACAAGCAACTCGCATTCCGTCTTTCCCGCTAATATGGCCTTTAAATATTGGACCACATGAAACATACAACAAATGATCAGCGGGACTGGCGAGACGACTCCTAATACGGAGTCCCTAATGTTGGAACCTGCAAATATGAAGAACAACATCACTGTAGGATCTGTAGGCTTGTTCTTTGCAACATGTTTGTTTCTATTATGCTGACACGTACCCCTTGAAAGGGACACTGCAAATCAGGGGGATCCCGCTAGGCCTTAACGGCTTCTTCTTCCCAAACCTTACTGAGCTCGGAGTTGGGTGAAAGTAGATGGCACAATTCCCTGTTTGAGTTCATCCTCCCCTTAGCGACAGGTCACATTGTCGTGGCCTCGCCATCGAAAGACTTGGCAGTGGCTCAAAAAACCGGTACGAAAGTGGAGCCCTGGTAAGTGGAAACATGGACCAAACCCTGCGTAACCCCTCCTGTTTAATTTTGAGCCACACCCACTTCAGCCGCCTCGCTGCAGGCGCGGTGGGCCGCTTCCTGCGGCGCGAGCCGCCGCCGGAGTCGGCGAACGGCGCGGGGCGCGCGCTGGCGCAGGCAGGCGCCTTTGCCCTGAAGGCGCGGGCCGAGGGATGGCGGGGGGAACAAACACAACAAGAGAGAACCCTTGACTCAACTTTGGTTAAGAAGGGGGGTGGTTTCCCTTTAGTAACTTTAGTATTCTAGTTCCCTTTTGGGTTCTTTGGATTGCGTTTTGGGTTTCAATAGCTTTCAAAGGGAGTCATGCACAAAAACACACACAAACTATTGCCATGGTGTTTGAAGACGTGGGCAATTGTTGCCGAAGTTAGTTTGGACTGATCCACATTACGTTTTTCTTTCGACTCAGCCCACCACCTTCCTGTGTTCTTCGGAAAGTTCAGTACCCCCACTCCCCAACAGCAGTGCGACGGTATTCATGAGTGGTGGTCCCAGCTTTCCTCCCAAAAGCAGCACGGCACCCCCCTGAACATTTCACGCACAATGTTTGCAGCCACTCGAAGGGTTTGGGAGTTTTTAGTCAGGCGTAACAAGATTCACTGCCTACAACAGCTCCATGTCTCCAGGTGAACGTTTTGTTGAAAGTGCACGGGCAGGACAACGGGCTGCTGACCAAACAACGCGGTGACTCATCCTGTTTTGGCGGTTTGTCCTTTGCTTTTGGACTACTTTTTGAAATAGTGAAATGGGATGGGCTTTCGAACATACTGGACAAGAAGCACACACAGCGCTTTGGTATCCCCGAGCACCCCCCCATTTCACCCACGTGTTTTCTGTGTGGGTACAGTGTACAGGCAATGTGCAATCACTTGAGGGAAAGGGTGGATTTTTCACGCAAAAAGGGGGTTGCAAATAGGGTCCCTCTTACAGTGCGGCGATTTGATTCATTTTTGGGGGTGTCAACAAGTCCCAACCTGAGCCACAATGAAAACTTCAAGAGAAGATTAGTCTAGTCCCCAAACAGGTGTTCATTGTAACTCACCCCAGGGAAGGCGTTTGATGCCCATTGTCCGTCTCGAGGCACACTTGCTGCGTCTCACTGCCGGAACCAACCGCGGCACGGCGGCAACGACGGGTACACAGTGGAGCGCCCCAACGTGGCTGTGTTTGCGGGTCAATCCACCAAATGGGATTTAAGTGTTTGTGTGTGTGCTTGTGTTTTTGAGTGCACGCTGTTGTAGGCTCTTTGCGGGGTTCAGCAAAAGGGCCACCAAAGGCATTTTGGGCAGTCTCCCGATTTGGAGACAGACCTCCATTGCTTTGTTTACTGTTCCTTTCGGAAAGCGTTTCCCAAAAGGCGCGCTAGTTTTGACACATACCCACAAGGGGAGCTTCACTCGACCACGGCAAAAGGAGGGAATCTGTTTCTTCTAGCGAGCAGGAACATAGTGACACTGTGGATGGACAAAGTCCACTTCGCACCGAATACTTGGTGGTTTGTCCCGGTTTGCGTTTTGTTTTTTGTTTTTTCAGTAGGGACTCCATCCATCCCAAGTGGTGCAGGGTCTGGTCCATCCATAGTAGACCATGTTTCTTTGTATAAACATAATATGATTAGCAGCACCACAACCATGGACCATGACGAACTGCAGCATGAAAGCGCATGCGAGGTGCCAAAACCTCAACAAAGATCGCTTTGAGATTATTTTACATGGTGGGCTTCACTGAATATGGATCAGAAGCAAGAAACTTATTTTTGTTGGCTTCAGAAGCTGAGGTAGTCAACAAACCAGAGGGACAGCGGCAGCAGGCATATGAAGGAACGTGGGCAGCAGACTTTCTTTTTTCGTCAGCATTGTAGACAGCTCTTTCCCCTTGAGTGATTTTGGATGGGCGTTTCAAGGTGGGGTTGACCAAGCGGAGTTCTTTTTCAATATGGCCCATGAGCCCAATTGTGCAAATGCTCGGCCATAGAGCTGTGACGTTGTGACCATGTGTGCAAAGATAGAGATAACATCTGTTTCTGGTTTCTCCGTGAGACCCTGAATAATCATGGTAGGAATGCAGCTTTGGCTCATTGTTTCACGCGGCAGACAAATAAACACCTTTGGTTGCATGTGACTAGTCGACCACATGGGACCTCTAGAAACTTGGAGACAGCTCAACAGCTAGAGCGGCCCGCGCTTTGGACAAGCTGACGCGTGGCCGTTAGGTAAACGAGGGTTTGGGCGGTGATTCTGCTTTCCCACGCCCAGCCCAGGCGGCTTCGGACCAGTTTCCTTCCAGCGACGAGACACCTGGCTGCAACCGGATGTGACAGGCTGTCCAATACTGGGGCTGGTTCCGGGGCATTGGTGGCCCGTATCGTTGTTTTGAAAGGAGTAAGGGTCCACTAAGGGTCCACTAAGGGTCCATATGGTCATATGATGGAATTCCAGTCAGAGTGAGCTTGCAGACCGGGAAGTACCTTTCAATGGATCCCTTTCAAGGGATTCGTAGTTGCTTTGTTGCATCGTTGCATCAAGGTCGAGACATGTTCAAGCACGCAAATGGTCCAATGGTCTCAAGTTCAGGTTTGACTCAGTGCTCCGCGCAAAAAGACAATTCATTTGATTGCCATGTCAGCGCTACTAGCATTTGGATTGCGGGTTTTCGGTGTTTCTTGCTGCAAAAAAATTAGCTTCGCGTGGAGGTGTGCAATGCGGAGCGCATCCCCATGCGTTGTCCGAGTTCCTGCAGGGCCCATGTTTCTCGTTAAACATCCCAGCGAGCGGACACTCACCTACGTTGGCAACCAGTGGTTCTGAACCTGGCTTGGAAAGGCGGCGATAGACGGACCCACGTGACATCAAGGACGGCCGGACATGGTGTGGTTTACCCAAAATGGGCTGTTGACTCCGAGGGCGACATCTTGGCTTGCATCGCGGATTTGGAGGTCATGGCCCCGTTCCCTGGGCCTTCAACAACAGTCCCCGCGCCTTGACATGCGAATGGTGTGCAAGGATTGGGCTCAAGGCGACTGTCTTGGAAACTAACTATTTCATGGGAGTCATAGAGTCAGAGAGAGGGAGAGAGAGGGAGAGAGGGAGAGAGAGGGAGATAGCTAGTTCTTAGTGGATGCATGGGCTTGTGATCTGTTTTGTGTGTGGGGATTATTATTGAATCCATTGGATGGTGAGTAATAGGCTTATCGCCCCACACCAGCGGCGATTGCACGAAGGCAGAGACGCGCAGAGGTCGAAACAATGTCAGGCTAACCTTATTCCTTGGCAAGGGCGAATTTATCGGTCCTTTTGGGTCAGTGTTCAAATACATGGAGCTGCTTTCAGGTTGAGCCTCACCATTTATCAGTGGCCATTTTTCTCAAAGTGACCAGGCAACACCCTGCGTTGCGAAGCACTGATGTATTGCCGATCTTGCATTGTGCAATAAAAGTGGGGGCAACAAATGCGCGAGGTCCAGTGAGATGCCCTTCAATCTGGTTCGAACTCCCGACGCAGTGCAGACAAGCCGAACTACAACACAAAGTTAAACACCATTTGACGGAAGTCGTGTTGGTTTCAGAATACTTCATAGCTAGTCTGCTACTTGTGGGATCTTGTGGGATGACGATTCCTGCGAGAGTTGGGAAAGAGTGGGATCAAATGAATCGTGAATGAATTTGGATCGCCGGTATTTGCCATCAGCTGACGTAGAAGCAAAGGTGTTGATTGATCGGTGGTTTTTGGTTGACATGTGGAGAAACAAAGCGGCGGATGAGTCGACTTGTTTGCGTTTCTTCTTTCAGCAGATGCTTTCTCCCTCCAGGCCTTTGCTGCAAGCATTGGAATTTGCGCTCAGTGTACCAGCCCCAGTAGGTTGTCGCTGCAAACGCATCCGGATTTTCCCTGTTCTTGCAAGTAGACCACCGTCAAAGCATGGAGGATGACAAGAGCTTGGACAGTTCCTGTTTGCATTATCTTTGTTTGCAGAACCCGACCTGAAGATGAATCGGCTCACATAATATAATCAGGAGCAGCTGTTCGGGAGATGGCGCTTGATCTGGTCCACATCACCAGCAGCTGCTTGGATGAGAAAGTCGGGATAGTATGTGCGAGAAGACCTGCAAGATTCCCCGTGAGGGATAGGACATTGCAGTTTCACATAGCTTGCAAGCTTTTTGTAAATGGGCTTGGGAAGTTTGCAAAATTCACAGGATGCGTTGCACAATTTGGCTTCGAGGCGTAGCGGTTGTACGTGTTGCTTTTGGTTTCATATGCACAGAATTTAAGGAGACGGCAACGTCCAATCCTTCGTTAATGCCGAATTACACTGTGTTAGCGGCAGCAGCGCATTACAGAAATTGCAACCTGAGCTGACTCCACGCACTGCGATTGAATCGGCTTCCGGGGCCTCCCGGCCCTCACTGAAGGGTGGGCAAGTTTGGCTTCAGTACCTGACTCTGGGTTTTGTTGAAAGGAAAGCCCAATGAGGATGTCAAGCATCATTGACCTGAAACCCTGGACCCTTGTTCCTTTCCTTTTGGTTCCCTAAAAAGTGGTGAACCCCAGAAAGACGTGGTTCTCTTGTTCTGCTTCTCGGGCCTTTGGTTGCCTCTGGGTTGGCGTTTGATTCTTCTCCGAATAGGGGAACTGTTCATGGCTGGCTTGCTGGTGTCCCTTTTGTCAAACGAACCCCGAAAAATGCAGCTGGGTAAAAGTTTGATTGGGTGGTACGTAGCCCATAAGCGTTAATTTTACACGAACGCAACCACAACGACTTTGTTTTAAGTTCCAGACCCAGGGCTGAGCAGTGAGGTTCTCTTCCTGGGCTCCGTGCCTTTGCTGGACTGTGGGGAAATCCTGCAGGACATCACGCAACGGAAGGAGCCCATGGTTTTGTGAGGTTCAGGCCTTTGGCTAACTTGTGGCGATGTGTTTTTGGATTTTGAAGGCTTCAAGGTATCGCCCGGATCGGTCGCAATCAGCGTCGCAGCTTTAAACCCCCATCCAGGTGTTCAGCCCCGATGCTTCCAGCCAGGTTTAGCTTGAAGTGCGGTCGCTTCCTCGCGGCAAAGGCGTGGGCAAATTCAGCACGCTCGGATTTGTGTGGTTCAGCATGTGAGCATTTGGTGAGGTAAACTTGTGATGCATTGATGTTGGACCAGGGCCACACACAGCCTGCATCAACTCAGTAGCTACTGAAAGGTCCTGAGTGAGCCAGGCACTTTTGCCGGCTATAGGATGTATCAACTTGTCATGTTTCACAAAGCAGAAGCAGCATGAATTCAAAGCAGGGGTTCAACAATCTACTGAGCCACGGCGTCATGTTGAGCGTGGAGGTGTGCCTTGCAAGCGGCAGCAGTTGCTTCGTGACGATGTCTCCGGCTGCGACGGTCGCAGAGCTGAAGGCTGTGGCACAGCAACAGTTACGGCGTGGTTGCCTTCGGCTGGTTGCGCATGGCCTGCCACTGGACCCAGGTTGTACCTTGAGTGAAGCAGGCGTGGGAGATGGGGATGCAATCAATGCCATTGTGCAGAGGGTTCAGATCAGCGCCGCAGATAAAGCATTTGCCCTCCATGTCGCAGGAGGAAATACCGTGACATGGGGCGAGGCAGACTATGGTGGAGACAGCAGCCTGGCTGACGCGCAGCTGAGACGCGTTGAGCGGATCAAAGCAGCAAGTGGTGGTGCCTTTGCCGCAATTCGGCATGATGGCACAGTCGTTGCTTGGGGTGCTGCAAACTACGGCGGAGACAGCAGCGAGGTGCAAGATCAGCTGACTCATGTCTGCCGCATTCAAGCAAACGAAGATTCATTTGCTGCAATCAAGGATGATGGCACGGTTGTGACTTGGGGCGATAAGACATATGGGGGAGACAGCAGTCAGGTTGTTGAGCAGCTGTCATGCGTCATGGAAATCCAAGCAACTGACGGTGCTTTTGCTGCAATCAAGGAGAACGGGACGGTTGTGGCTTGGGGTGATGCGGATTTTGCTGGAGACAGCAGCCAGGTGCAAGAGCAGCTGACAGAAGTCCGCCATATCCAAGCGACCAGCTATGGAGCTTTTGCCGCCATCCGGCGTGATGGCAGTGTTGTGACGTGGGGCGACCCCACTTTTGGCGGGGACAGCAGCCAGGTTCAGGAGCAGCTAACATGCGTCCAGCAGATCCAATCAACTCAAAAGGCATTTGCAGCCATCAAGGATGATGGCACGGTTGTGACTTGGGGTGATGGAGAGTCTGGAGGAGACAGCCGCCACGTTGTTGAGCAGCTGACACGTGTCCAGCAGATACAAGCAACTCAAGCTGCCTTTGCAGCAATCAGAGATGATGGCACAGTTCTTACTTGGGGCGACAAGATTCATGGGGGAGACAGCAGCCACGTTGCCGAGCAGTTGTCACGAGTCCAGGCCGTCCAAGCAACTTGGAGTGCTTTTGCTGGCATCAAGGATGATGGCACAGTTGTGACTTGGGGCGACAAGAACTATGGGGGAGACAGCAGTCGCGTTGTTGAGCAGCTGTCACGCGTCAGGAACATCCAAGCAACTTATCGTGCTTTTGCTGCCATTAAGGATGATGGCACAGTCGTGTCCTGGGGCGGGGCACCTTGGAGCGAGACGGATTTTGAAGAAGACAGCAGCCATGTGCAAGAGCAGCTGACGGACGTTTGTCAGATCCAAGCAACAGTCGACGGAGCTTTTGCTGCCATAAAGTATGATGGCGCAATCGTGACTTGGGGCAAACCAGGAAGTGGTGGGGACAGCAGCCAGATTCAGGAGCAGCTGGCGCATGTACTCAAGTGATCAATCTTTGACAATTTTCTGGATTGCGGCAGAGACGGTTGGAGCACGAGGGATCAGATTGAGTTTCCCATGTTTCCAAGGCATGTGCAGCTTGAGACCCATGTCGAAGAAGAGCTACAGCAGCCAATGTGAGAGGAATGTAGATACTCGATACGCAGAACACTGGCCCAAATTTGGTCACCATTTGTGAAGTACATTGTTGGGTCGCAATTCTCAGCCGACCATGGTCAACCTGGACTCAATTTTAGATCCTCCAGAGGCAAATGCCCAAGACGGCCGCATGGAAATCGGCGGTGCGGTTACCCCAAAAGCTGAGCCACAATCAACACCTGGAGACAAACAGCTTCTTTAATGTTGTGCGATGGTTTCTTCGCCGTTCTTAGCCTTTGTTTGGGTTGTTTGTTTTTTTGGGTTCCGTATATTTTGGAGAGGGTTGTTGCTACAAGAACAACATCTCAAGCTGACAAACACAGATCATCCAGGTGAAGGTTGCAGAAGGGATTGTCTTTTTTCCAGACCCCGTATTAGTTGCTGCGGGTTTTACGTGAAGGGTCTAGGTGAAGGTTCCATGAGAAGGTTCCGTCTTTTGTTTACAGCTGGGTAAAACTATAGTTTTACTGGGTGCTAAATAGCAAACCTATGTTGTAGATGATCCACAAGGAAAGCAAAAGGAATTATGTGGGGTATATTACTGTACAATGCACAAGTTTGTACAGTTCCCTCGGTTCAGTCACCCCTTTACTTAACCACATAGTGGGACTTGTTCCATCTACCTTCCCCTTGGTGGAGGTTGCCGAAGGGGTTCCTTTCAAGTTTCATGCGATTTGCAGTGCTCCAGTGCACGCGCGCAATGAGCCTGCAATAAGGGCCGCATGCCTCTGAAGGCGCAAGCGTCACAACAAATTCCGCTTTCCTAGACATGGCGGCACCTCATCCATTAAGAGGTGTCAGTTTGTTATTGTGGGCTTTCCGCCTTTCCGGTGAGTGTTCAATGCAGCTTCAAATCCGCTGCCAATTTGATCTGGGGACGGGGTTGCGGGAATTGTTTGTGATTCCACTGCAAGGCCTTCCCAAATAATTCGCCACGAGGGAAGGAACCAACACCCCAACTGTTTCTCACTTTCTTTGCAGCTGGCCGACCAGGTTGTATGCAAACCACAGACATAGCCCAAGCATGCAGACCCGAGGACGCTGCAGAGCCGAAGGGATTTCTTGGTGCAGATTGAATACGTACTGCAAGGGCGTCAACACTTCCAATGGGGTTGTGGGGTACTCAAAAACTAATTAAGCCACGATCACAACCAATTAAGCCACGATCAGAGGACCAGCATGTAGAAAATGTTATCAATCTGCCTGTTTTTCGGTGAGCTCACCAATTTGGGGGTACAACGAGCTCACCAGGGTGTGGGTCCTTTTGAGGATCCAGCTCCTATTCCAAGATTTGAATCATTGTAAAACATATGCAGAGTCATGACTCTTCCATTTCCAAAACTGCAACAAAAAGGCAGCGTTTGACTTCCGGCCAGGAGCTGCATGTTTCGAGCCGCGCGCGGCTGGCGATCCCCGGAAGTTTGCCCGGTGCGCAGCTGGAGGCGAGGCTTTGTAAGCGACCAGTTGGAACGATCCAATTGTCACAAGACAGGGGAAATGAGACGATCCCTTGCTTCAACATGTTTACCACTGTTTCAACAACCTCCTTTTTGTGTTTTAAATCAACTAGGCCAGAGTTTGCTTGTTTAGGCAAGTGTTGCCCAACGGTAGTATGTTCGAGTCATCTACTCGAATATGGTTGAAACATATTATGTGTGTGTGTGTCGTTTTCTTGTTTTTGTGTGTGTGCGCATGTGTTTGTTTGTTTGTTTGTTTGTTTGTTTGTTTGTTTGTTTGTTTGATTGGTACGTTTGTTGAGTTTGGTACAGTTTGTTTCGGTTCATTTGTTTTGGTTGTTTGTTTGTTGTGGGGGGAGGGTACACTTGTCACCTTGGTATAGAGGGAAACCAGCATTCTTTGGGCAGGGGACGTAAGTGCCTAGCAACTGCGGCTACCTGAGAATACCATACAAACCACTTGCTAAGTACAGATTTGGCAGTTGGAGATCTCCAGTTGCCACCATTTTTGGATTCAGAAACAGGAGTTGGGGCACCCCCTGCCCTTCGTCATTGATGGGGGTGGGGTGGGAGAGGGAGAAATTGTTGAACCAAATGGGTTAAACACTGGCCGTGCTGCACCGTGTGGTCTTGTGGGAACCAACTGGTTATCCGTTGCAAGACAGGCATCTTGGGGCCTCTTGAATTTAAGCTTCATTCTGGACCCTTTGGTGGACATCGCTTTCATTTGGATTTGTGTCAGCAATTTTAGGTGTTCCCACTGGAAATTCAGAGCCAGTGGCCAGGGGCTCAGTTCTTCATGCTTTGTTCCAAAACATGGCTCAAAAAACGATACTTTCGAGGGACTTGTGCTGGGCCAGTCACAAGCCCCGATGCACCCAGGCCGCCTGGCAAGCCTGGGCAGAGGTAGTGTCAGCAAGGCCTTCGGGTGTTTTCAGAAGAGGTGTGCCTCTTAAGAGTTTGTAGTCGCAACAGCTAGCGTGCTAGCTGGAGTATTGCTTGCTCTACCCAGAATTGAAAACTCTGTAAATTTCGTGCTGACAACAACATTGTGCTTTTTCTAGATTCTCTGCAAACATTGTGTTTTCAGAGAGTTTTCAGAGAAAACATCGTGTTTGGGATAAAACCCTTAAAAAAGGGCTTCTGGGGCCAAACACTCATGTGGAGCAAAGGAACAAAGGCAAGGGTCGAGAGTGGAACTCACACAGGCATCACCCATTAAGCTTTCAATCTCACACAGGCGTCACCCATTAAGCTTGCAAATGAGGAGCAGGGCTCTATACTGAACATGCTTCAATTCTTAAAGCCCGCGTTGATGAGCCTGGCAGTCAGGGTGAAAAAAAGGCTTCAGTCTTTACTTACCTTCGCCGCAACAGACACCTGAAGATCCCTGAAGACTGGTGCCAGGTCATACCGCAACCAGTTTAAAGGGGATGCTGCAATCTCGAAGCCTCCTTTTAGGTGCAAAAATCAGACTCGGGTGACACTTTTTGAGATTGTTTTAGGATACTTGTCTTTTTGGAATGTGGTGGGGTCCTGGCGATTTACCCGTAGAAGAAAAAAAACGTCCCGTAGCCTTTCCGAAAACATTGTGCTTTTGGAAAACATTGTGTTTTCGAACGCGCAGCTTATGTGTAGAAAGCCCGTAGTAACCCACAACAAACTTCAGAAATTCTTTGTTTTTTTTGTTGGGGTCAATTCCGGATGCGCGAATTCAAGATTTTGAATGGACGTCAACGAAGTCGTGGGCGAAAAGCCGGACTTTGCCTAAACTTCCGCTGTTCGAAGCATTGCTGCTTGACAAGTGTCATAAGCTTGGCAGCCTTCTTGGAAGGATCAAGGTGGTACTTGTGACTATTTAGGTCCCCGGCTTCCTTCTTTCGGGTTAGAATTTCGAATGTGGAGTTGCGAATGCGAAGCTGACTTCGTTGTGAGCGCAGAAGGGGGGAGGGCAATGGGAGATTCTGAGGGTAAGATGTTTTTTTTTGATCGGATGATGAGATAAAGGAACCTATGGGGAAATGCTTGAACTCGCAAACATTGTTTTCCGATATCGAGTTTCCCAAAAAGCATCGTGTTTTTTAGGTATGACATGTTCATCGGTTTTTGTGGCTTCTGGTAGCATTTGTTTTTTGCGCTCCAACTGCCGTTCAACGAATCTGGCTTCGGAAGATGACTTTTCTTCGGCTTGCGCCACTCACCCACCCTTCCTCCCCCCCCCGGCTGGACTCCCCGTGGGACACGCAAGGCTCCCCAATTTTATCCAGTTTTTCTGTTTGCTCTTCTCCCCACCATTCGCTTGGCTCCTCTCTCCTTCGCTCCGCTCTTTTCTGCAATCCGCTTTGCTGCCCACTCTTTTTGTTTGTGCAGTCTTTGCTCCGCTCCTCTCTCCCCTCTTTGGCTCCGCTCATTTCTTGCCAGCTTCGCTCTGCTCTTCTGTGCTCTTCCCCTCACCATTGGCTCCGCTCTTCTCCCCGCTCTTGTGCCAGCCTGCTCAACCCCCCCCTTCTCTCCGTCCTTCGCTCCGCCCTGTTCCCTCTCAAACTTTACGCGCTCTGTGCTGCACTCTGCCATGTGGTTTGCGCATGGTTCAAGGATCTTTTTTGCCCAGGCAGGGAGTCACCTAGGATGCAGCACTGTTGGGGTGAATTTGCCATTGTTGTTTTCTTCTCGATCTATTACCCAAGTCAACCCCTAAACGTCAGCCGAAGCTGTGCGCCGACCTTGCGCGGATGCTTGCTTGCTTGCTTGCTCGCTCGCTCGCTTTGCTTGCTTGCTTGCTTGCTTGCTTGCTTGCTTGCTTGCTTGCTTGCGTGCGTGCTTGCTTGCTTGCTTGCTTGCTTGCTTGCTTGCTTGCTTGCTTGCTTGCTTGCTTGCTTGCTTGCTTCTTGAATCGGCTTGCACGTGGTTACTCTCGAGACCTTGTGTGTGGTTGGTTTACCATAGTCATAGTCTCTTCCCAGAAACACCTGCAACACGCAGGGATCTTCAATAGATCGTCTGAGACGGCTCGCGAATCTGATTGGCATACCGTCCGTGGTGCATGTGGTTAAGGGGCTAGGTTTGTTGTGTGGTGTTCCTGGAAGTTGACCAACTGTGACAGCCGGTTTGCTCCTTTGAAAGCATTTCAGGTTTGCAACTTAAAGGGTGTGAGATCAGGTACCATGACGCCAGTCTTAAGGCACAAAATGCGATTAGCATCAGAAGGCCGAAACGTGCCATTGTTACCCCATGGTGTCCCCAACAACCACTGATGGTTTTCCCGAATTGAGTTCTGCTGAAGCCCGAAACTAGAGCCCAAAAGGGCACTCAGCAGTCCCGGCTAGATGGTGGCAAGGCAATCAATTGGGTGTGTGTTTTTCAGGTACCATATGCAGGTCACTTTCAATAGACTTCCACTATTTGTTGGGCCCGCTTTTTTAAGACACACCCATGTGAACCCTATTCCGTAGCTCAGTTTCCGTTGTTCTTGCCGGCAGCCCATATCCAGGCGCCTGGTGCTGCATTTCAAGTCCTCCAAAGTGGGGCCTCTGCAGCTGCCATTGCCGCCGCGCCTTGGACGCGCTGCGTGCCACCTTGAATATGTGCCTGCGTCGAAATCGGTGCTCTCCCAAAATGTTGCTTCCTTTTTGATTTCCCTTTAAGCCCACCTGCAAAGGCAGGGTTAACCCTTAAACATCTCCGGAGTCCACGGCACTGAGGGACCTTAACCCCAACCCCTTCAAAGTGGGGGCCGTGGTGAGATGTTTGCTGGAGGTGTTGTGTTGTGTCACTTGTAAAGGGCCTGATACATTCTACTTGACGACATATGACTGCACGAGCGCATGGAGAACATGAGAATCCCCTAGATACCCTGTGCCTGACAGTAGACACCTGCGGATGTCACAATCAAGTGTGGGTGGCGGACTTGTGTCGCTGGTCGTAGGCCGTCGCCCACACAAGCCAGAACGGATTTGCTAGAACAAGGCATCGCCATGCAAAACACACTCGATGCAAGCATATATATCTAGCCAAGCCTACCGCACCTTGTTTGTTTCCAAGCGGATTTCCCAATCATTGGACTGGTACTACCGTTCACCTGTCGCCTCACGGATATAGATGGCACACACGGAAATACTCCATTTAAGTTTGGGGACACTGCGTCAAGAATAGGGATCAGCCAATGTCTTTCATGTTGAGGCATGTTGAGGCCCTCCACCTTTTTTGTCTGCTCCCTTTCTCCTACTCCCCTGCTCCCTCACGACCACATATGGAGCATTCGCTCGGTTTTTTGCAAGGTCACAGAACCTTTCCACGACCTTCCTGGATGATGAGTTGCGCATCTCGCGTGAGGGCACTGGCGAGATCTCTGTATGGATCCGAGTTTAGTCTATGGCCATGATCGGCCTCAGAATCCCACGAGTTCAAGGACACACTCTAGATCAATTTCCTTGGGTAGGTTCCCCTCTATAGTCAACCCCGAGAATTGTTTCCTTTTTCTACCATCACCGGGCAGCTCGGCAGAGGAGTCCCACTCACTTAATACTGCGGTCGCCTTTTCAGGCTCCGTCAGTTTGTTTGTGGCGCATTCTGAGTCTGAGCAGGGCCATCAATGAAAGGTCGTAGCTGTTCGCTCTAGTCAGCGGGTGTGGATTGGTGTGAAGACCGCGCATCCAAAGAGGTGCTGACGACAAGGCTTTGACTCGGCAAGAAAAATAGGTCCTGGCCTCTCCCCGAGGAGGTTCCAAGATATTCCTTCCCCCTTGTAGGCAAAAGGCAAAAATCGATTTCCATTGCCATTCAGTTGAGAGGAGGGATCGTACCTATGAATGGCTGCGCCATACCGCTTCAGGCTGGGCAGGAAACCTGCATTCGTGTAGGTCACGCATGGTCACGCTTTTGCAGGCATTTTCCCATTGTTTGAACGTTAATGCAAATGGCAAACGGCCGAAGCATTATTTTATATTTAAGCAAAGAAGGAACTGTTGCAAGCAACACGACAAGTTGTCACCGCGCACCCATCAATGAACCAACCGAGAAGCTACAAACCGTCCATCTGAGTGCAGCAAACACAACCAGTGCTGTGATGTTTAGTGTGCCTTCCATCTTCGCTACATTTCGAGTAGGCGGGTTGGTTGAGCCACCCCCAATCTCCAACATGGAACCCGGAAAACATGGCTCCCTGATTGTTCACACGCCTTCGCCTTTGGGCGATGGATTTTTTGCGCGTGAGTCATTGACTATATGAATCATTAGTAGTCCACATTTACTTTGGGAGAACGTGCGATCCGAAGTCCTTACAACATCCAGGGGAGCCACCGAATGCTCCCATGTGCTTTTGGGGAAACAAGTACTTCTGTGGGTTGCCACATCGCCAAGGAGCTGCTAGTGTTTGTCGCGAGATTGGCGCTCGAAGACACTGCTACTTCGCTCAGTCAGGTTGGGTCTCGCAGACATTAGTGCGAACATTGAGTAGGAAGTCATCGTAGCGAGGCCTTAAATGTGCCACCTTTGTGAAGCCTGTTGGTTGAATTATATTGCAACATGATGCGACCTGTTCGCAACAGCAACAACGATGAGCATATCCCACTTGCAGCCTGTGCTGCGTGTAGGTTTAGCCATCAGGCTGGTCAGCTGGTCGGCTAAGCCGCCAACAGATCGGCAGCTTTCGATGCCATGCGGCTTCTTCTGCTTTGTGCCCCTGGGCAGCAAAAGCAAAGACGAACACTACTTAGACGGTTTGGATTTTAGCTACATGGCTAGTAATTGGTGGTTACAAGGGATTTGCAGGGGTTAAATGGGTGGTAGCTGGGAGACAATCACCACTTAGCGAAGTTTCGGACCAAGCTCTGTACGTGTTTCCTGCACAATTTTCCTAAGTATGACCAAGAGAGCAGCCACACTCTATTTGATTACAGGCGCATCGTGGGGTCACAACAGGCATCAGACCCGCGGCAAACCGTTTGGGGTGTTTGTTTTGCGTAGTTGAGCTGAGTCAGGAATCGTGTGTGTGTGTGTGTGCCTGAGTGTTTGCTTGGAATGGCATGTTCCTTCAAGACAGGGCACTGTTTGGTTCCATTTTGAATTTCGGATGTTGTCTATATCAAAAGGTTATAATGGATATTTGCCAGCGATGTTGGCCAAATTGCCCACCCTGAAAATGTCATTCTTTGACACTGTGCCGTCTCTTTGGGCAGGCAGGAGCGGTGGTGTTTCCTGGTATGTCAATTCTACACAGTACAACGTGATGTGCAACATGCTACTCACACGTGGGGAAGAACTCTGATAATATTATGTGATTCAACATGCTTTTGCTGAAAATGCACAGTTGTTTCGTTTCGCATTGCCAATGCTTTTTTGAATTCATTGGCAAAGTTTCTGCCAACTACCAAATACCAACTGGCGTAACACGTGCCAGCCACGCAGGCTCTTGCAGCACTGAGCAACGGGGAAGTGTGGCTTATCTCTGATAGTGCATGTTTCGAGATGTATACACAAAGCAGCCACCACCACCACCCGGCCCGTTCGACTGTCCCTTTCCACTTACACCGCATACCTTAACCACAAGTGGTACAAAAGTCGATTGGTTTTGGGCGCTCCCAACTTATTGTCGCCCTCGGCATGAGCGTGTTTGACTTCTGACGGCCGGCGCTTCGATTTGAGGTTGGCATAGCGGTGGCGCAGGAGTGCGGGCCTCATCGGGATATCGAATTCGGCACAATAGAGCCATTGGTTTCTCTTCCGATGTCTTCTTGGAAGTTCCAGTGATTTCAAGATTCCAGTTCGATTCATTTTGAGAGGACAGAGTGAAACCAACCATCAGAAGGACGACCTGCCCCAAACTTGGAAGTTCACCAGCTGCATTTTCCCAACACTACCCCCGTTCCAGTGCCCGCTTGAAAGAGACAGGCCGGAAGAAGGCGTTCTTCTTGAGACAGGCCGCAGGACTTACCGCCTTGAAGATATTTCAGGATATCAGGAATCACCCACCCACCCTTTCTGCATGAGCATGTGGGGTCGCGATCAGGAAATGAGTGTGCCCAAACAATCTGGATACATGTGGGCCGATCCCTTCCGGCCTTGCCATGAATATGAAGCCTCCAGCCTTTCCGCCTTTCCCAGCGTCCCCTTGGAATTCTCGTGGCACAGGTGCGCCTCGGATGTGGCGACTTATGTCTCCAAGTTGGAGGCGCGACGCAACCAAGGTGACACCTCCGAGACCTCAGATTCCAGATCAGCACGGGATCCAAAATCCACCGTTTGCAGAGGGACCTCCTTCAGGGCAATCTACTTTTGGTTCCATTTTGTCTTCCAGAAATATGTTTGCGCCAAGCTATGTGAGCGACTTGGTAGACTTCAGCCAGTTGAGAACATTCTCAGGTGAGATGGCGGCAATGGTCTCACAGGTTTGATACCAACATAGAAGAATATACATTAAACCAATACTTAGCCTCTATAAATAGGGGGGTCTGTCGATTTAGCCGTACCCGGAAATAAAAGCGTAAACAAAAAAGCAAATAAGTATAGCTTTCTGGTTGGCCTGGCCCTTAATAGAAAGAGTCCGTAAATAATATGATAAATTGTGAGGTGAATTATTGTAAATCATTTTCGCTTGCCCGATCTTGAGTGACCATGCGTGAGCTGGACTTAGTGTCCCTCATGGACGGGGATATGTATTGACGAGAATCTTCCCCTTTGCAAGTTTCATTTGCTCATAACACTGAAGGAAGGCAAAGCATCATGAGTCATGAATCATTGGAAGAGCCGAGACATCTTTGACATGAATGTTCATGCGTACTCGTAGCTGCTAGCCACATGTTTTTTGCTCGTGAGCATGTGTGTGGTTGGCAAGGCCAAAAAGGCCCTCCGGACGCAAAAGCACGCGCGCCCATGTTTGCGCTTGGGTTGCATTGTCATGCTAACACCCGGCAGCCAGAACCCCACCAAGATACATGATACATGTGTCTTTAGTGGTCATGAGCACGGACATGCTGTAGGATCGAGGACTAGGAACACTGCGTCTTGTCCTAGAACGTCTGGTATGTCCGGTCGTTGGTTACGTCAGCTGCGTGAACAACATTAAGAATATTTGAGGGCAATACTCTGACACTTTCCAACAATCAAGACTTAGTCAGCTTATTGTTGGGCGACCTTGCGAGGGCCAATCTTGAAGAACACGAAGGTTAACGTCTACATTTTTAACATGCACCTGGCGCACAGACACACAGACACCACCCACCCACACACACACACAAACACACATGCGCGCACGACTCGTCACGCGGTTGTCTCCGCGTGGCCACTGATCTTAACCAGTCAGGAGTTGCAAAGGACGATTTCAAGCCTTGTCTTCTTGCAGCTTTGCTTGCCGCGTTGTGATACTGTCGGGCGTTGTGTTTTGCTGCCGCGGCTTCGCCTCGTGAGCCCGCAAGGCTCAGGGAATCCAAGAACCGATCCCAGAAAATCCAGTGCAGCAAAGGCCGGAAAAAGAGGAGTGATCGATGCTGTCGAGATGTGCCCCCTGAACAGTTCAGAACGGTTCAGCTAGCCTTTTTCTGCGTAAATTTTCGCGAAAGTTTCAGGCAACTCTTTGCCTTTTTGTGCTTTGAGATTTCGGATCGCTTTCGATGTTCCGATGCCTGCCTGACCTTGTACCTATAAACCGCCGCCAAACGCGTGCTCACGAACCGTCCTGAGGAGCGGTGGCAGCGAAACTGCATGCCCCCGAGCCGTTCTGAACCATTCCGGAGGCATTGGAACGCATGCCCCTGAACCTTTCTGAGCCGTTCCGGAGGCATTGGAACCCATGCCCCTAAACCGTTCTGAGCCGTTCTGGATCTAGCAAGCAACGCACAGAGCAGGCGCAGAGTTCAGAAACGTTCTGAACCTTTCTGAACACTCAAGCTTCCCAGGAACCGTTCTGAACCGTTCAGGAGGGATTGCAGCATCATACTATGAACCGTTCTGAACCGTTCACGAGGGATTGGCAGCAGCATACAACCGTCCTGAACCGTTCAGGAGGGATTGCAGCATCATACCCTGAACCGTTCTGAGCCGTTCGCGAGGGATTGGTAGCAGCATACGACCGTTCTGTGCCGTTCAGGAGGGATTGCAGCATCATACCCTGAACCGTTCTGAACCGTACGGAGACATTGGAGCTGCGTACCTAGAAACCATTCTGAACCGTTCCGAAGATTGCAGCTGCATGCTCAGGAATTGCTCTTTCTTCTGCTCACGCATGCTTAGGCTTACCAACCACGTGTTTGAGATGTTTGGCCTCCTAAAATTTCTATGGTAGCTGCTCAGGATTTAACACGCGAGCCTAGCCTTAACAAGATCATTCAATCAACACCTTGGGCGCTTGTCATGGAGATGGGAGGGGCGCGTTGGAGCCACACCTTCTTCTTGCCAATGCTTTGC